GAGCCCTTGTAGAAGGTCGACACCATGGACCGGAATCTCTCCTGTCCCCCCGTGTCCCAGATCTAGGGCAGAGAAAGGCATGGACACACCAACAGGCATTTGGGGACACGGGTGTCGCGGGGGCAGGACAGCAGAGTGCCTCACCTGCAGCTTCAGGGGGGTTTTGTCCACTGCGACGACCTTGGTCAGGATGCTGGCGCCCAGCGTGGTGCGGTAATCTTCATAAAAGGTCTTGTGCACATATTGGTGCAGGAGGGAGGTTTTGCCCACACTGGTGGGATGGAAGGAACACAGGTGAGGGCTGTAAGCTGCGGAGCCAGGCTTGAGGGGTTGGGTGCAGCCAGCATGAAGGCCGTGCGCCCATAGGATCCCAGACTGGGGCATGCATGGGGTTTCCCCATTGCCCTCCCTGCAAGGACAGCGTGGGGTTTGGGCAGCACACAGTGTTTAGAAGGATTTCGCACTGCTTAAAAGCAAAGAGAGACTCAGCAGCCCCAGGGATCTGTGTGGCTCCTTACCCCAGAGCTCCTATGATAATGATCTTCAGATCCACCTTTTTGCTGGCGTCCATGGATGGGCCCTGCGGGGACAAGAAGAGTCACACACTGAGCGCTGGCAAAGGGACAACCAGTGCTGGAGGTGCAGGAGCAGCTGTTGGCCCCTGAAGCCCCCCCCTGCTCCCCCCAGCACAAGATGTGAACTGAGCTGTGCCAGGAGCAGTGCTGGGAGCAGAAACCCCTGTGCCAGCCCAGCCCACATCACCACCTGGGACTGCTCCCCATTGCCATAGCACGCCTGGACATGCTGCCATGTGAAAGCCTGCCGTGAGAAACCTCCCAGCCCTTCTGTCTGCTTCTGAAGTGCAACTCCCTGCTCATAAACCTGACGAACAGGGAGGGGGGAATTGCATTTATGAAAGGAGATCGTGGCTGGGTGGCGTTCCTGGCTGCTCTGAGCACTTCAGGAGTGCTCTGAAAGGCAGGAGCTTGTGGGGGAGATGTGACCTCGGTGACAGCTTCAGTCCTGGTTAATAATCACTGCTGAGGGCAATGCCCGTGTCAGGGACTTGAACCCTTTGCTGCCTCTTCAGCACCTGTAGGAAAAGCCCGAAACTGGAGCTGGGGTTTTGCTTCGGATTTCTGCACAGTCCCAGCGAGCACCAAGCCCTGAGCACAGCAGCACCCCCTCCCCAGCCGGGACAGCGCGCAGTTCCATCCCTCCCCCCCAGCGCTGCTCGCACTGCAGCGCCAGCCCTGCTCTGCCAGAGAAGCCCTTGAAGCCCTGGAAGCGCTCGCTAATCCCTGCATTTTTTCCCGATGCGTTGTCCGGCTCCGCGCCGCTCTCCATACACAGGGCGTGAGCACCACGCTTCCTCCGCCAGGACGAATCGCCCACCCGGATCCCAACTTTCCCACCCTCCCCATCCACGATGCTCACCGAGCCCCGTGCCGAAGTTCACCCAGCCCTCCCCGTCCCCGTGCCAGCCTTCCCAGGGCCGGCAGTTTTATATCCCGCCCCACGCGTATCCCAAAGCTTTGCTCCGAAGGGGTCTGAGGTTTGCGCACCCACCTGTTGAGGCATCGTCCTCCCGGGCCGGAGGTGCGGAGCTCTTTCGGGAAGAGCCAGAGGAGGAGCAGGAAACGGCGTTGGCCCCAGCGTTGGTTCCTTCTGCTCGAGGGAGGGCGGCTGCGTTCCCCCGCGCCGTGACATCAGCACGAAGGGGCCGGGAGCTGCGGGGCGGGCGGTGGTTCTGCGGGGCTGGGCTGGATCGTGGCGCTCAGCATCGCTTTATTGCACGGAAACCAGCGCGGACTTTGCTCGGTTGCTCTGCTGAGCAGCGCGGTGGGGTTGGAAGGAGCGGGGGCTGCAACGGTCCGCTCCCCCATCTCAGGGGCTCTTTGCGGCTCTTTCGTAGGCAGGCGAGGTCCGGAGCAGCAGCGTTCGCAGCCCTGCTGGCCGTGCCGTGTTCACGCTCAGCCAGCACCCACATGTGCGCTGCCATCCCATGCACAGCCCGGAAGACGGGGACGATGACATTAGGAGCCCTACGCTCAGATTCGGCGGCAGCTCCTGGAGCAGAACGCGCGCAGCACACGAGGAGGATTTTATCGCTCTCCTCGCTCAGCAAAACAGATCTACTGAGCGCGGGAGCACGCAGCCGCTCCCAAGCACTGAGACATCTCCCCATGAGCATCGGCACCCAGTGTGAGGTGTGTGCTGCAGAGACATCGCAAGAACTCCCAGTGCCACGTCTGCAGAGCTGTGCTTGGCGGTAGGAGCAGCGCCTGGGAGCGATGCAGGCATGCAGGGGCAGGTGCTGAGCGTTTGCCAGGGGTGCAGAAGGATTCAGAGCTTCCCCGCCCTCTTTTGTGAACCCCCAGCCTCCCTCACCATGAAGGGCAGCCACAGGCTGCTGCATTTCTGCTGCCTGTACTCATTTTTTGCTTTGCTTGTTGGCTGTCCCCAGCACCAGGGTGAATTCAGGAGGTGTTCCTGGTCACAGCCCAGCAGTGACTCATGCTCAGCAAGGCTGGAGCTTCCCACTTGCAGCCTCACGTGCTCTCTGTCAGAGGACAGCCCTGACCCTGCTGTCCCTTCTATCTGCAGATGCTCCTCAGGGGATCTAAGAGATCTCCGTGCTCAGCAGGACAAACTCTCCTCCTCCTTCCCAGGTGTAATTTTGGGACCTGTTTGGCCTGAAACTCTGCCTTTCCCCCACAGGGCAGGCACAGGGAGTGGTGGGGAGGTGGGAGAAGCACCTGAGCCTCCGGCCTGCGGGCAGCTCTCTGTCTGGTGGATGGCACTCCCCAAGAGCAGCTCTCTCCTGCCTTCTCCTGGTCCCTGTTTGTTGCCTTTTGTGCTGCTTCACCTTTCCCCTTGCAGGAGGACTCTGCGGTGTCTGTTGCCCCAGATCTGTCTGTCCTCCTCCTCCCCATGTGCCCATCAGCCTGGCAATGGGTGATGCTCACCGGTCAGATGATCCCCGTGTCTCCATGTCACCAGAGATGGGCTGTGTGGTTGCGTTACCACAACTGATGCCCACTTCTGCTTTTGTGCAGGAGGGCCTGGCCCCATCAGAAGCCCAGCCTGGGCCGGTGGCAGCTCTGGTTTTGCATGGTTTCTGATGAAAAGGGATTTTCCTGGGCTCCTGCTCTCGTCACCACTCTCAGAGCAGTTGGGGCAATCTTCGTGCAGTGCAGCACAAAGCAGTGCTGTGGGCTGATGCCCTGACAGCTCCCTTGCCTGCTCAGCAGCTCCTGCAACCACAGCTATCGTCCTGCTTGCTTCACCCATGGTCAGCAATTCCATGAGCAAAGTGTGGGAGTTTGTGCCCTGTGACAAGGAGGAAGGGCTTGCAGCTGGGAAACAGTGAGGCACAGGATGGCTGCAGGCAGAGGAGAGACTCGTGGGCAAAGAGAGGAGACGTCATCCCCTGCAGCAAGCAGAGGCCACAGAATGAGGGAAGGGGAAGGAAGCAAAAAGTATCCCAATGACCAAAGTATTCTCTATGAGTTGTGCAGCTACTCCTGCTCTCCAGGGACAAAAGGAGATTCCTACTGAGATACTGCTGGAGCAACACCCCTGAGCATCGGCTGGGTGCTGAGAGCTGTGGACCTCTGTCCACCTCTGCTGTCTTCCCTTTCTCTGAAGCCCACCAAGGGGGCATGGGATGCTCTGGGATCCCAGGAGCAGATGGCACTGGAGGGGTGATCCTGGATAGGTCCAGGCAGTGCCACCATCATTTAGGGACACCAGGTGGTCCCTCGCTGTGCTGGATGCCCCCCTCCCCACCCATGGCTGCAGTGATGGGCAGATCCTGCAATGCTTAGCAGCACTGTGGTGTGCAAAGTGTTAAGCTGTCAGGAGCTGCAGGAGGAGAGCAGACCTTTGTCCAGCTGCCCCTGCACCTTATCTGCACGATGCCTGGGTGAAGCACAGCGAAAGGTGATGTCAATACAGCAAACAGTTACAGAAACCATATGCTGGTCAGCAGCACAATCAGTGTTTCGAAGTAAGGCAGATATTTCCTTTTGTGGCAAACAGAAATCCAAAGCCTGGAAGTGTTTACTTCCAGCTCTGAGCTTTGCAGTGACCGTTCAGCTCTCCTCTGGAATCGCTGCAGGGGGACCTGAGCGCCCCATCCCCAGCCCTGCTCTGAGCTCAGCCCCGCAGCAACAAGGCAAGCTGTGCAGAGCCATGGATAAAAATAACCCTTCTGTGCACTTCCCCATGTGCTCAGGATGCATCATGCATGAGCCACCACACATCACCCACGTCCCTTGCACTGTCAGCAATCACATGTGCTGCGGTGGCTCCTGGGGAGGGATGCAGCTCCCTGAGACCCTTGAAGCCCCCAACCCACTGTGCTGGCTGCAGAGATTTGGCAGCACGCAGCTCTGTGCCTTCATGCACCCACAAACCACAGCCCTTTGAGAGCTCCTCGGGGGATTGAAGGAAAATCTGCTGGAAGTCACCTGCTGTGCAGGGAGTTTTGTGGCACAGAAAGAGCCGGGGGGTTTCTTTGCTCTCCTAATGATCTCCTCGTTTGTTGGTGGCAGCTCAGCCTGCTGAAGCCGTGCATTTTGCTGCTGAGCTCTGCCCTCCCAGCCCCTGCCCTGCCCAGATCCACCTCCCGGGGCTTTCTGAGCAAACTTTCCGCTTCTTCCACTGCACAAATCCCAGTGAGAGACCACAAAGGCCGAGCCTCCAGACCAAATGAACAGCACGGTCTCCTCCTGCAGCTCACTCCAGCACAGTCAGCACTGAGGGTGCACGGGAAGGAGGAAACAGATTGGGGCAGCAGAGACTTGCAGGATCACTGCTTTGGGAATGGCAACCACTCCGGGTTCTGTTTTACCAAAGCATTTATTGAGCTGTGTTCAAAAACATGACAATCTGCAGGGCTTGCTCCGCAGGGCCGCCCGAGGCATTTTGTGTGCACTCCTCGGCACGGAGTGAACCTCCGTGTGCTCTGCACTCCCCGGCTTGGGGACTTCTTCTCCATCCCCATGGCGCTGAGCAGCTCCTGCCCCACTCGTGGCCATGGCCGCAACCCGGCGGCTCCACTTCCCTCCCACCCCATAGGACTCACAGCCCTAAGGGGCAGCGGGTGCGAAGCCCACCCGGTTATTTCCACGGTCGAAGACAGAATAATACTGTCGGATGAAAACGTCACCCAAAATCCAGAGGGGTCCGGCAGGAGGGGGGACGTCCATACCCTGGAAGCCGCTGAGGCAGATGTCCATGCCGTCACTTTGCTCCTGCAGGGAGAACAGTGATGCTGGGGTCAACCCAAGAGCACACAGAAGGAGAAAGAAGGGGGATTTGGGGTCCTGGGAACCCAGCAGGTGGGAGCTGTGGGTACCATGAGGGTGTAGGCTTGGGCAGAGAGTGTGTAGGAGATCCCGTTGATGGTGAAGGTGATGATGGGCATCGAGTTCAGGAGGCTGCAGTCCACGACGTACTGCAAGAAAATGGGGATGGCTCACATGCCAGCACTGTGCGTTCCTCTTCTCCCACCACCACCTTGGCAGTGGTCCCCTGATGTTAATACATGGGCAGCAATGAATGCAGAAAATCTCTGCTGTGATTGCCTCAGTGCCACAGCAGTGCTACCCTCCTTCGGGTATCCTTTGAAGCACTCCTCCCTGCAGTGCCCATCCCCAGGGCTTTGCCCCTGCTCTCCCCCCTCGTTCTCACCTCACCATCCATAGGTGTGGCACCAATATATCTTTGCATCTCCTTTATGTCCTTGGTGGGACCAGTGAGCAGAGACGTGCCGGTGTCCACGATGGCCTGGCAGCCATTGGCACAGAAAGCCACCGTCCCCCCTACCTGCACACTGCGGGAAGGTGCAAGAGATGGGGAGCACTGGGGATAACTGGAAGGGACCCCAAACCCCCACGCTGCCCGGCCCCACTCACTTGTCCAGCTGGATCTGCCAGTAGCCCTGCACTGTGACCGGCACCCAGTGCAGGGTGCCCAGGAAGCGGGAGGGATCAAAGCCCCCAAAGAGCACTTCTCCACCCAAGGAGGAGTCCGGGTTCCTGGAGGAAGGGGGGGGATGTGAGCCATTTATTTTCCTTTTCCATCTTAAAAAAAAAAGTGGATTGATACCCATATGCTTCCCACAGATGCTCAGGGTTTTAAGCCTCACTTTGGTATGGTCTGAGCTCTGTGATGCTCAGCACGCTTCCAAAAAGCCTCCTTGCCATCCTGCTGCTCCCTAAAAGTAACACCTGCACCGGAACCACATCCTTACGAGCTCATATAGACGGAGAAGATGGGCAGTTCCACCAGATCTTGGGCCATCATGTTGTCAAAGACAGGGGTGACCCCATCCACGGCCAGCGAGGGGTACGCCAGCCCCAGGATCCCATCAAATTCTGAATCCTGGAAGGTTTTTCCCGGCTCGCTGACGCTCTCTGCAAAGGGCTGGTTGCACACAGTCATGCCTTCCACCTGTGGGATGGACGGGGCTCATTGATGGCTCTGGGACATCCCGTGTCACGACTCAGAACAGGCGACCCGAACGCGACTCACGGTGACATCATCAGAGCCGATGATGCCAGTCAGGCTGCCGGTCCCATACTGGAGGGAGATGGGGAGACCCAAGGGCTGGTAGGTGCTGGAGCGTGACGGCTGGAAGCGGGCGTGATTGGCTGGGGAGAGAGCAGCTTGCCAGAAAAATGGGCACGTAGGGGTGCTTTGGGGAGCTTTGCTGGGGGGAAGGGTGAGCTTGTGCAGTGTTCAGTGAGAGACGACGGTCGTCAGTGCTATTCCCAAAGCACAGACAGCGATTCTTGCAGCCCATCATGCAGGCTGTGCTGTTTCTGGCTTTGATCCCCAACCCCTTTGTGCTTTGCAGGGCATTGCTGCGTGATGTGCTGCAGTGCTGGGAGCTCAAACAAGCATAGCACTTGTCCCCAGCCCAACCCCGGGCACCCAGCCCAGCACTATGGTCTCTGTGCCTGCCTTGTTCCTGCCACTCAGCTCCTCGCTGACCATCCGCATTATGTGCTATAATCTCTCCTTGTTTGCTCAAAGGCCCTCCCATAAGAATGGCCCAAAGATCCTGGCTGATATCTCCCATGGGCCGATGGTACCGGGTCCTGGTGGTGTGATTGCTGCCGAGCAAATAAACCCACGCTGCTCCTATTCCCACTGCACCCCATGCAGAGTGCAAACACTGCACCTCCTGCATCCTGCTGCTGCTCTGACCCCATGGCCCCGCTGGGGCCACTTTGCACAGTCTGACTCGTTCAGGGATCCCCTACTCACTGCAGGCTTTGCTGGTGCAGTAGATGGATGGCACCCAGAGGTTGGAGGAACCCGTGTCGAATATCACCGTGAAGTTCTGCGGTGGGGTCCCGATGGAAATCTGCCCAAAGTACTCCATCTGGGAAAGGCAGAGCAGAGGCTGTTGTTGGCCACTGGAGCCCCAAAGCACCCTGGCGGAGGGGCTGTGTGTGGGGTGAATAGGGAACAGTGTGAGGATGGCTGCATTGTGAAGCGTTTGTCTGCCTGGGCTGCATTGTGCCGAGGGAATAGAGAAGCCAAATATTTAAGGAACAGAAGTGCAAGCTGAAAACAAAGGCAGGATGGTGGGTGTGGGCACGAGCCTCTTCCCGCAGGGCTGCAAGATAGGGTCCCCTTGTACTCCCCAGCATAGAGATGCAAACAATACACAGAGCTCTGGAGACCCCTTTTGCCTCTGCCCGTGCATCCCTTGTGCAGAGGCCTTCTCTGCTGCTGCAGATGGAGGGGAATTTGGCTCCCGGGCCCTGGGTGGGTAGCACAGAACAAGCAGGGGGAGGGCTGGCAACGAACACGCTGCCTTGTTTGTGCTCAGCATCATCTGCAGGAACAAAAGGAGCAGCTGGGCGCAGGCAGCCACCATCCCAGGCATGCTGCAGCTCGTTCCTTGCGCGGGAGCAGATTTATTTGAGAAGGATTTGGGCGTTCAGGAGCACTCATGCAGCACAGCAATCTTTCAGGACGCTCCGGGCTGCCACCGACTCCACTGCACTCACATCCAGGTAGTTGATGAGGGGCTCGTTGGCTTCCCCGAAGAGAGAGCAGTCCTGTGTGTACTGCACCATGTCCAGCCTGTGGGCCTTCCAGAACTGGGAGAGCTGCCCACGGTCCCGCAGCGACTTCCGCAGGGAGCGGTGCCGCGTCAGGGTCACCCTGCAGAGCACGGGTCTGCATCACTGCATGGGCACAGGGCTCGGGATGCTGCAGTCCCTGCGCCCCTGCACCCACCCCAAGCATCTCCCAGTGCTGATGCAGCCCTCAGCTGCGTCCTCACCTCCTGTGTGGGAGATAGCAGCGCTTCCCCCCCCCCAGGAAACCCCCAGCACCCTGCGGTCCCCTTTACCTCTTCAATCCGCTGCATGGAGCGAGGCAGAGCACGGCGAGGAGGAGGAGGAGGAGGAGGAGAAGGCTGTGCATGGCGGCGGTGCAGGGCTGCACGGCGAGGTGGTTCTTATACCAACAGGTACACCCTCGCCCCGCGCTATCAGCGATAACGCCCCTCTCCGTGTCAACACTGGGCTTTGGCTGTGGCAATGAATCACTGGGCACCTCTCGGTCAGGTCAGAGCGCCGGGTTGCTGGGGAGGACGAGGGGCTGGGCCACGTGGGGCTGTACGTGGGGTGGGTAATGGGGGACCTCTGGGCACCCCTGCTGTTTTTTTCCTCCCCATCCCAGGTTTTTTCGCTAGGGTTGCAGGAAGGGGATGTTCAGATGGTGCCGAGCTGCCTCGAAAAGGCAAAGATCTCATTAGCCTTGATGAGCTGCTCAGGAATCTGCAGCTTTGCTTTTTGTCATCGAAGCACGGGCTTTGGCAAAAGCTGCTCTGCTTTAGGAACAGTTACATGTTGCCTTACAGCCACTGATGGGTTCTTCCCCAGTGGTTTCTGCTTAATGCTGGACAGCCATCTCATTAAGCATCTGAGAATGCAAATAAAGGATGCTAATGAACAAACACAACTCCTATCTGCTGCTGAGGCTTTGTCTTCCTGTGGTTGTTTCCCATGTTTGTGGCCCTGCAGCGACTGATGATGGATGCCACAAGGAGAGGTGTGAGCAGCACTCACGTTATTAACAGCATTTCTACCCCTAGCGCAGCGCTAATCAATTTCCCATTTATTGTGGTTAGACCGTTTTATTCAATCTTATTTAATTAATGGCAAAGCAACCAGCGCTGAGGGGTCCGTAAATGCACAGCAGTCACCTGGAATGCTCTGTAATGGGATGGATGGGTGGTTCTGCTAACATTGGGCTGGATCCCAGGCCAGGAGCAGATCCTCTGTGCATCCCCACGTCCCTGCACCCAGGCTGGCAGCTGCAGCCTTTCCACTGAGCAGCCCTTGCACAAAGTCATCCCTATCATATTTTAAACACTGTTTCATACACCTTTCCCTATAGTTCCATGCATCCTCCCTCCTTGTCCCAATGATATGTGGGACGTAAAAGGATTAGAAAAAAAGCAACCCTTCTTGTAAGCAAGGGGAGGATCAGCCAAAAGCCGAGGAGGCACAGCAGCACATCCACTGCTCCAGATGTGACTTATCCATTGGAAATCCCATAATAAACCCCTCCTGCCCTCGGGCTGTGTGCTGGGGAGCATGGGCTGAGTGCTCCACGTTTGGCACTGGAAAAGATCCCTTCTTGGGTCAGGGCTGGAATGGCCACAGGGAGCAGGGATGCGCTGTGGACGGGAAGCGACCTCCCCTCAGCTCCATTTATGGCACCTGACTCATTACAAGAAAACTGCTCTCAGGCTAAAAATAGGTTATCTGCATTCTTTTTTCTTCTCTGTATTTCCTTTCCTTCAGCCACTTCCACTATTAGCAACCAGTGATTCACATCGTACCCGAGCATCACCTTCTGAAAAGCCTTTTTGCTCTGATTATCAAATCCATCTCCCACCTGCTCATCTGTTTGCATATCACAGAAGGAGTAAAACCCTGTAACAGCAGCGCTGAAGAAAATAAATATTTTTATTTCCGAGAGCGATAAACAACCAAACTCCAGCTAAATATTTACCCACAGCAACAGCAGCTGATGGGTGAAGGCTGAGACCCAATGGAATCACCCAACAGCTCTCGGGAGCCCAGCTCAACCTCCTCACCTGCTGGTGATGGGGCTCACTGGGGGCTCACATGGAGCATTTACCCCCAGAGCTGTTCTGTGTGCCCTGCTTGCAGTGAAGCAACATTTTCTCCCTGCGTTAGAGCTGCCCATGGGAGCACATGGTGCAGTTGGCCGGTGGGAGCTGTGTGGGGCTGCAGCTTTCCCAGCCTAGGGCCCAACCTACAGCAGAGAAACACCCCAAAATATTTAAATGAGTGAATGCAAGCGTCATGGAACCCGGTGCCATCACTTCTGGGGGCAAAGCGAGACCGCATCCGGCGCCCAGTCAGTGAGCACTGCTGCACCAGCTGCAGTCAAACATCCACCAAAAATGCTCCAGAAACATCCCTGACCTCTGCAGAGCATCCCATCCATCTGCTCTGTGCCCCGAAGGCAGGACGGACACACGGAGGTCTCTGCACCCCAGGTAACACCCAATGGGCACCCAACGTGCCGCGCTCCATGTGGTGCTGGGCAGCACAGGGCTGTGCTGGGGCTGTGCTGTGCTGAGCTCTACAGCTAAAACTGAGTGCTGAGGTCAGGCAGGAATAGGTTTGAAGTCATCTGGGGCAACGCCGTGGGTTTGCTTACCTTCAGATTGAGCGCAGACATCTTGCACTCGCAGCTCAACCAGCCAAGTGCTCTACAAACCTTGAGTGCAATGGGGCATCTTGCTATAGATGGGGTTAATACCCTGGGGGTGGGCAGGAGGGGGCTCACGGCCCCTGAGACACCAAAAAAGTACATGTGCTGCAGCCCTTATCTGCAAAATAGGTATTTCAAGGCGCATCTGTGCGTAATCTCTTCCATCTCAATGCACCCCAGCAAAGAAGCTGCCTGCTGCTGGTGTTTGGGTTTGGGTCCTGCTTTGCTGTTTCCTTCTAAGCAGTTCAATTCTCAGATTGCTATCTGCTGCTGCAGCAATCTCCTGCACCAAAATAGGAAATGAGCCACTCAAACGGCGGCCATTTGAGGAGGATATTTGGGGTGAGCTCAGATCAATAAGGAAGGGGGAAAGTCCTGGCAAGACATGGACTCCTAGCTCAGCAGGTGCCCAAGGGTTGGGTAAGTGGAACGGTGCAGGGGAACGATGCCATTCTGATGCTTTACTCTTGGAAATACATCTTTGGGCTTTTGGCCCATGGGATGGATGGGCCTTGGCTCTGTCGATCTGCGTTTATCACTCACATCATTATGGCTCCTTTAATCACCGTCTCTAAGCTTTAGCTGAAGATACCTCTGCACGAATACTGAGGGTATTTTTTTGCGAGTGAGCACTCACGAAATGAAGGCTCTTGATTGCTGTCCTTCATTATAAATCCCCAAGCAGTACAGCCAAAAATTGCAAGCCAAGGAGCCCGCTTCAGGCACACGTATTATCTGCCGTGCTTTAAGTCCTGACAGCTTCAGCAGGACTGAGGCACTCACCTACAATGAAATCCGAGGTGTTTCAAGCGCAGTTAAAGGGAAGTGCACGCCTCCATTTGCAATGGGATTGGAGCAAATGATTTCCTGCAGCACTTGGAAAATCCTCTCCCAGGTGCCCGGCGGGCGGCAGTGAAGCATCAAGCACAGCTTTGCCTGTTGGTTACTTTCTCCTACGATTTATTTTTGCCTCCAGATGAGAGTTATTGAGTATTTTTTTGCGGATTAAAAGAAAAAAAAAAAAGAAGTGAAGAAATGTGAAAGAGGATTAAAGCAAGGAGGATGCACTGCAGCTGGCGGCGATGGGGCTGTTATCAGCCCCGAAGCTCCGTGCTGGGAGCAGACAGAGCTGAGGGGATGAGGGCAGGGAAAAGGCTGAGCATAGGGGTGTGTGGGGCTGCCTGTGGCTGTCTGTCTGTCTCCAGGAACCTCAGGGACGTTGCTGGCACCACAGTGACGACGGAGATGGAGCACTGTGAGTGGTGAGTGCTGCACGGCCCCATGGCACAGCTGGGGCTTGGGGTCTGGGCTGAAGGTCGGTGGGAGCCCTCTGCATCACTGCTGCTTGGGGGTTTTCAAAATCCCTTCTTGGGATGGGACCCCAGAATGAAGGGTGTGGAGCCCGGGGCGCTAAGAATGAAAAGCAAAACCAAAACCTCTGCCTGCAAACTATGGGCTGAGCAGACTTGGAGGCCACGTCAGCCAAAGCGACGCCGAAAGATTTCAAATAATTCTGATATTTCTTTCATTTGGGCAAAATCCTTTTCTCCCATTCAGGTGGGTGCCTCTCGCCACCTCAGCTGTGACCCTGCTGCTCAGCTCTCTGCTCCTGCTGCTGCTTTACATCATGCTCAGCAGGAAAATAGGTAACGCACCACCCTGAGCTCCTCCATCAGCCCTCAGCTCAGAAAAGGAAAAGGGATCTGCCCAAAGCCTCAGCATCCCCATCCTCGAGGCACCCCAGCGCCCCAGCACCTTGTCTGGCCCTGATTCTCTCTCCTGCTATGGGGCACTGGGTCTGGGCACCCTTGCAACCATCAGACCCCCCCTGCTCAGCACCGGTGTGGAGCCGTATTGATCGCAGCGCAGCAGAGCAGCCATGCACAGTGATGGAGTTGCACAGCCCAGGATGCAGTGCTGCTCCAAAAACATTTTGTATTATTGCTCTGGTTAGAAGAGCAGTGGGGTTTCCTCGCTGACAGAATCGATTTGCAATATCAGAATCCAGATGGAGCTGTGATTTCCAGCAGGAAAAGAGATGCTGCCCACATCTGCACCCAATGCGTGCTCTGCCGGGCCTGTGGGTCAAAGCAGATCTAACCTTACACATGGGAAGGGTCCCCCATGTGCTGATTTGACTTTGGAGCCTGACATCGCAGAGAACAGAGAGCACACTTCATCAGCTCAGTAATTGAATTGACAGATATTTGCCCACTCCAATACAAAATAATAATTGCTGCTGTGCTACGGCCCGCACCGAGCTGCTGGCTTTGGGGAGCGGAGGGGGGATGAGCTGTGCAGGAAGCTGCAGGGGAGAGAAAGCACCCAAATGGCACTGGAGGGATGCGGGGGGGGAGGCTGCAGCCGGCTTAGAGCTGCAGCAAAGGGCTGATCCCCCTCCCCACTATTGCAGACAGGCACTGCTGCAGCGCACAGGTGAGCAGTGGTCCCACAGCACAGCCCCAGCAACCACCCATCTCTTCAGCTGGAGGGGAAGGGGTGCAGCAACCAAACTATACGGGTAAGGGGGATCCTGCAGCACGGCCATGCATTGCTTTGTGCTTTGTGCTTTGTGCTTTGTGCTTTGTGCAGTTCTTACACAGAGCTGCTCAGTGCTGCTCCTCCGGGTGCCAATGCGGAGCAGGCAGTCTGCAGCCATGCACTGGGTGCAGCAGCTGTGTGCATTTTGGGCCTCTCCTGCTCCCTGTGGGCACTGCTGGTGGGCAGGGGGATGGATGGGGCGGGATCACACTGTGCCATCTGCATTTTCACTTTTCACTTTCGTGTACGCGAGCCTTATTGGGCTGAGAGCATTCCCATGTGTGTGTCACTGCTAACGATGGGGAGCACAGAGGCGGCCGCTTCTGCTGCTCACACTGTTCTCTGATTGCTTTTTCTCCCTGATTACACATTTCTGGGATGCATGTCCCGTTTAGAAGGGAGCAGCGAGACGTCTTCAGAGACCTCAGAGGACTCGGACAGCAGCTCTCTGCACCCACAGGTACGGAGCTGTGCTCCACGGGCAGAGCTCTGCCAAAAGCAATCACAGCTGCTACAGCCGTGGCAGCACGATGAAGGCAAACACACTGAGATGTATTAAAATAACCAGCGGTACAGCTGTAGGTGTTGTCCCCTGCCCCACGCAGTGCTGACAGGGGGATGTCCCCACGGGTAATGGCGGTGCCAGGGCACGGTGTGCTTTTCGGTTCCAGGGCGCCGGCACCCTGAGGTGCTGCTGTGTGACCCAGCACTGTGCCTGCTCCCCTAGGAAAGGAAAACCCGCTCAAAGGAAAACCTCAACTACACATCCGTGCTGTTCCCTGGGAAAGGCTCTGATAGGAACTACGAGAACATGAAGATGGGCGCTGATTACGTCAACGTGGACCCAAAAAAGAAGAAAGCAGAGTTTTGGACCTGCTCCAGCCCTGTGGCATCCAAGTCCATCGAGTACACAGAGGTGAAGCTGTGACACTTCCCTGGGGTCCCACAGCAGCCACCGCTCTGTGCCCAGGTCAGTGCTGGCACAGGGCTGCTGCCATTCCCTGGGATGGTGCAGCTCCCCCAGGGATCTTTCGGGGTCGGAGGCTGTGGGTGTGGGGTGATGTGGGGCTGCCCCACACCTCCCTGTGGGGAAACGCTCCTTCTCAGACTGCCACAAGCTCTGCACGTGTGTGTGAACGCCGTTTTCTCATCTTGTGAAAGCAAATGCTCCCCCAGCGGGATGCGGGTAAGAGAGGGAAATGCAATCATTTCCAAACCATCCCTCCATTGGGCTGACACATCCTGTGAATAATGCTTCCTTCGCTGATCGCTGTCATAAAAACCTTTTAAATACACTCCATCCACCGGCTTCACCCTTTCTGCCCTCACACCGATCCCTCCTCTCTGCACCCCATTTTCCTCTGATGCTGAACCCCCTCAGGGCCCCATCAACCCATCACCTGGCACTGGGGTGGGGGCATTGCCTTTCTCAGCTGCTGGAGATGACTGGGGCTCTAAACCTCCTCTGGATGTGGGAGAAGCAGGATGGGACTACGGCATCTGTGCATGACTAAATCCCTGCATTGCATTTTCCCTGCCCTCCACCTTCCCTGCAGCAAACGTGTGGGGTGCAGGAGGTGATCTTCCCCACCCGAGCTGTGCCCACCCCAGGGTGAGTGTGGCTCCCACCTCAGTTGGAGCTCAGTGTGACTGACCGTGGCTCACCTGGGATGCTGCAGGGACAACAGGAAGAAATCCCATTGCCTCCAGGTCCTGTGCCCTGCAGGTGCTCTGCTCCTCGCTAAATAAGACAAAAGCAGCAGCAGCGATTTGAGAACGGTTCTTTAATGTGCAGCAGCTGTTCAGCAGTGCAGAGCAGCACTGTGCAATGGCTGCTGACTGCAGGAAGAAGAAACCTGGTGGGAGGGAGGCAGGATCTGCCTGGATGAGGTGGAGGTGGGCCAGGGCTCTTCCAGGCATCTCCTCAGTGATGTCTGTGCTGCATTTGGGGTGCTTGTACTACTGCATTGCAGTACTGCAGAGGGGAAATACCTGGTGCAGTGCAATGCTGCAGAGAGCCATGCAATGCAATGCAGTGCAATGCAATGCAGTGCAATGCAACGGTCGTGTCTGCTGCAGCCCTGGGGACATGTGCAGAGCCACAGGGCAGGGGGAAGCCATTTGCATTGGCTGCTCCACCAGCAAAACCATGAGGCTGGGAGACGGCAGTGTGACTGCAAGGAGCTCTCAAGCAGATGTGGCTGCAATGCCTCCTGCTGTGCTCAGACTGCTTTGCTGGCAGCTGTCAAACACCCAAAACTCTCATAAAAGGGTCTTTCTTAAAAGATGCGCTGATGCAGCATCCCCATCAGACATCTGGGTAATGAGCACGAAGGGGAGCAGGGTGGTGGATGGGGATGCATCACAGTGCATGGAGAGGTGAAAGCTGCACATGGTGGTGGGCTGCCTCCGTCTCCTGATGCACACAGCAGATGCAGCGCATGCAGCAGCAAAACCCACGAGGACAAGAAGGCTGGTGATACATTCTGGGTGAAGCACACAGCTCCTGGTGAAACACAATGCTACCAGGAGGGGAGACAGTCCTGCCTGCCATTGTCCACGATGCCACAGCAGCACCACAGCCTACAGTGTGCCCGAATCGGTCACTGCTTCCTCCTCGAGGGGGCTGAGGTTGCTGCCACTGCCCCTGTGCAGGGGGATGCCAGCACTGAGGCCGTGGCTGAGGATGGTGGTCCTCCTGCTGCACAGGCTGCCGGCCGAGCCCTGCCTGCGTGGTGCGGATTTGGGGCAGCCCCATAGGACCAGGCAGCGTGCTGCATCCTGCAGCGGGCGCCCGCTGAAGAACATGTAGATGCAGGGGTTGCAGCAGCTGCTGAGGCTGGCCAGCAGCATGGTGATGGTGAAGGCTGCGTCGGCGGAGTCTGGGGAGGCAAAAGGGGGGGGTGTAAACCTCCACTGGAGTGGGCTCAGGGTGAAGGGGGCTCAGCGTGCAGAGCTCAGGGCTTCTGAGGGGTTCTGTGTGGCTTCAGTGCTGAAAATTCCCTCTTGTTCTACTCCCATCCCATTGCTGGGGTGGCAGCTGGCAGCTTTCAGACCCGCTGCTTCCCTCAGTCTGCTGCCAGAGCAACTCCCAGAGGGCTGGCAGGCTGGGTAATGCCTCAAGCAGGCCAGGAGAGATACTGAAATTAAAAACATATGAAATGAAATCCCAAATCAGCTTCTCCAAGCTCTGCAGCTGGCTCAGCAAAAGCCCAATGGGCACTCAGTGCTCTGTGTGAAAGAGCAGCGATCCTTCCAGAGGGAGGAGGGGGAAAGCTGCACAGATAAAACTCTTCCTGCAGCCACATGGGAGCACAGCAGCTCCTGGAACAAACTCCCAAATGAGGGGAGAGACACATGGCAAAAGGTTTGCATAGCAACTTGATGCCTCCCTACAGCTGCTGGTCAGAAGTCATTGGTTTTCAGTGGGTTTGATGGAGAAAAGCAACGATTTGGCTCCGCTGTGGGGGAGTTAAGCAGTGCTTTGCCAAACAAACAAACAAACAAACAAAAAAACGCCCAAGAAAAGAAGTGAGCTCCTGCTTGTTAAAAACACAAAGGGCTCCTCCCTCATCCCCACCACTACTCACCATCATCAGGAGCATCCTCGTCCCACACCGACCACATCTGCATGCTGAAGAAGGGAGCCCAGCAGGCAACGTAGGCCACTACGATGACAAATGTCATCTTCACCGTGCGGATCTTGGCGCGGGAGATGGTGCGCACGCTGCTGACACGCGAGGGCTGCCCGGAGTGGCACCTTGTGCCCTTCTGACTGCAGTACAGAGCGCTGGGGGAGGCTGCAAGGAACCCTCCTGCCACGGGGACGCAGCTCTGCGTTTTGCCTTTGAGGTTCTTGCAGATCTCACGGCAGATGAGGCCGTAGCAGGCGGTGAGGATGCCGACGGGCAGGAGGAAGATGCACAGCGTGGTCCAGGTGATGTAGGCACGGGCGCCCCATGGGTACCCGAAGTCAGCCCAACAATCCAGCACCCCTGAGCCTGGCTTCACCTCCCGTAGGGAGAAGATGAAGAGTTGGGGGGTGCTGAGCAGGCAGCTGAGCAGCCACGCAGCCCCAACCATGGCGCAGGGCTGGCGGCTGGGCTGGCGCAGGGCGCGCAGCGGGTGGCACACGGCCACGTAGCGATCCAGGGTCATGGCCATCAGCATGTAGGTGGAGGCGAACATGCTGAGCACCTGCAGGTACTTCACCAACCTACAGAGCAGATCCGGCCCTACAAAGCGGTACGTCACCTCCCACAGCATCTGAGGCAGCACCTGGAAGAACGCGACGCCCAGGTCGCTGAGTGCCAGGTGCAGCACAAATTGGTGCATGCGGCTCAGTTTCCTCCCAGGGCGGCACACGGCCAGCAGCACGGCCAGGTTGCCCACGGTGGCCACCAGCAGGATGGCTGCCAGCACCCCCACCTCTGCCCTGGCCAGTTGTTCATCCCGGCCCTGCAGCAGGGTCCGGTTGGGGGTCCCCAATGAGGGTTGAAAGTTCTGCAGCTCTGTGTTGTGCGTGGTCTGACTGCTGTGAGAGCTGTTCCAGTCCCAGCCTGGCTCCATCCCACTCCTCTGTGTGTCCCCCAGCACTGTGGCCGGTTGCCACCTCTGTCCCTGTGCACCCACTCGGCGTGGGTTTCCTGGAGGGGTGCTGCAATCCCGGCTCAGCCTTTGATCTGGGCTGCACTGAGCACCCCTAAATCCTTAAATCTCCCTGCACGGCTCATCTTGCAATCCACCTCTATCCCTCAATCGAAAGAGAGTTCCTCTTCCTTGCTTCCTTTTAGTGCAGCGACGGCAACAGAGGCTGCATCCCTTTGGCCTTTTCCCTCCAGGAGCAGGCAGGACACCAAGAAACCAAGCACACAGAATCCCTGCAGTGAGAACTGCGGGCAGGGATTTATAGTGGGATCCCTCCCTCCCCCCCCCCGCTGCGTCCAGCTGCTGTATTGCTGCAATCAGAGCTGTGATCCCAGACTCTGAGGATCTGTGC